CTTAAAACTAAATAGCTAGTTTGTATAGTTCTAAAATAATGTAACAAATTTCAAACAATATAACTTGTTTCAGATAAATCTTCTTAGTAAACGTATGAAAGGAATAATAAGGAAATTTTTATTAAAAATTTATATTTTATATACCCATCATATTTTGTTAAGATTTAATAGATATGTAAGAAAATATATCAGACTTTACGAACAGTATCGTTTACTTTAAAAAGTATTATAAAATAGAACAAACATGCTTAATTTGTTTGGAGTTTACAAGTGACAGGGTATCATAATCGTAGAGGAGAATCGTTAACATAGACGTCATTGCATTTAAATCCTTATAATAATATTTTCCAATATTAATCGATTCAATAGTTATTTCAATTCATGTAAAAAACATAATTGATTAATGGAATCCTTCCGTTATCGTGGGTGCTGCATAGCAATTAAAAAAAAAAAATTGGTTGACCCTCCATCTTCGGCATCCCTGAAACTTTACGATAATTTCAATATCAAAGCGCTCCAAATTCCACTTAATAATATCGAAAACGTCATAATATCATAATACAATTTTGGAAAACCAAGTTTTTTTTTTCAAAATTAATTATTTTATTTGATTTCTTACGTCAACGAAATCTTTCGAAAGAATCAACCGATTTTGATGCGGTTTGTAAAAAACGTTTTTTGAGTAAAAATCTGATTAGATTTAATAATTGATTAAAACAAGGGTGTTGACATATTTCCAATAAAACTACTTTAAAAATACTCCAATTTGAGAATTTCTCAGTATCAACCGTGACGATTCATTCTCAATTCACAAAAAATCTAAGTTCAGCAAGGCTTTTTCAGATGCTGAAAACCGCTTTTCGATCGGAAACTCCGAGAGTTATGAGATGTTTACAATTACACACACACACACACACACACACACACACACCGTACATCATCGCAAACATAGTCAGAATAGTTTCCTAGGACCTGGAAACGTCGAGATCTCGTGGGAGCTCGGTTTTCAAAATCCGGGGTGAAACAATAACTTCCCCATTTTTTGAAAATCGTTGATTTTCATAGTGGGAAATTAAAAACTTAAAGTTATAATACTTTAGAAGTTTAAGTTCAGATATGAACTTTTAGAGGGTTTTAGTCCAAGGAAATATCTACCTAGTTCTAGTAGTTCTAGTATATACACGTCTTCGATTTATTTATTTTTCTGTTTTCTCAGACATGCAGGTTTCTTCACGAAGTTTTCCTTCACCACCGAGCACGTGGTAAATCAGCACTTTAAAATACAGAAAACATACATAAAAATTCCATATAATTACTAAACCGAATCATAGTTAACTATTAACCTAATCCTAAAGTTAACCCAGTCACAAAACAAAGAAAAGCTCTCTCTCTCTCTCACACACACACGCACACACACACACACACACATACGCGCGCGCGCGCGCACATACACAGACAAATTCTAGCACTACCTTTTAATAGATCTGAAAGCTAAGTTAGATAAAGAAGATACAAATAATATGGTATATGTACATGGTAAATAATATGGTATATGTAAATGGTAAAAGTATTGTTTTATATATCCCTATATTACCACCATAGGGCGAAGACCTGGCATCCAAAGTAAATCTCTCTCTCTCTCTCTCTCACACACACACACACACACACACACACACACACACACACATACACACACACACACACACACACACACACACACACACACATACACATACACACACACACTAACACACACACACACACACACACACACACACACACACACACACACACGCACGCACGCACGCACGCACGCACGCACGCACGACGACGAGAGACGACTGACAAATACTAGCACCAACTTTTAATAGATCTGAAAGCTAAGTTAGATAAAGAAGATACAAATAATATGGTATATGTAAATGGTAAAAGTATTGTTTTATCTATCCCTATATTACCACCATAGGGCAAAGACCTGGCGTACACATGTGAAACATAGGCGTAGAGCCTAGCTTAGGCACCAGTCTCCCACAGTATAACACTGGGGCGTAATACTGTTATATTATGTACAATAATTATGTATTATTATAGTGTGAAAAATAATGTCATTATTATCATTTTATCTTTTTTCCATAATCCATAATGAACTTATAAAACATTGGTGTTTTGAGTCAACATTTCATTCATTTCAAATAAAAATCTACTGGCTGTAAATTTTTAGGCTTCAAATTGTAAAGTGAGTTTCAAGCGGCACGGCATAGGAAATGAAAACAGCTGCAACACAAAAATCTGTTTTTGAAAAGAACAAAATTCTCTAAAACTTCAAATACTACAAAACTAACATGGGAGTCAAATCGATAGGCTTCTTTTGATAATACCCTTTTAGCATCCTATTTATTTTTAACTAAAATGCTTATGAAGGGCGGATTTAATTCCTTTAGGCATTTTTATCAGTAAATATAATGATAATGTGAGTCATCATTATAAAGTAAATTATCGTTTCATAACATAACAAAGTATTTAACAGTATATTATATAAATATATAATACTGTTACTGTTACAGCTTACACAACCTATCAAAACTCCACCAGTGAACACAGGTAGTCTTTTGGGGGAATAATTGCCATAGTTATTTGTCACTTCGTCACCAAAATATGCGTATGCTGTATTCGCAGACTGACTGTCAGTGATTGTCTTATTTTTTTGTTAGTACAGTAAAAATAGAATTAGAATTTAACTTTCACTAAATTTCCGATCCAAGTTTTATTTTTTATAAGGAAGGTCCCATTTAATGAACCGGTTTTTCTATCGCGGTCAATAACTCTTGAAAAATTAGATTAATCAATAAAATGCATTAATCCATTTTTATACATAAATCGTAAACGGTAAGTTTTACAAAAAAGTTTACTGAAAACAAAAGATGCAAAATTTTATTTTCTGTAATAATCGTCTCTATAACTTTTGCCTTAAAGTGCATAGTTTCCGAGATATCGGCTGAAAATGTTTTTTCAAGATGGCGCTTGAGGCACCACCTGGATCTGTCAGCATTTTGTGATTTTATGCTCAGTAGGTGATCCTAAACCATATAAAAATAAAATTAGATCGGAAATTTTGTGCAAAGTTGACCAAAAAACCGTCTATTTTTACTGGCCTATATAGATTAATAGTTTTATGAGTAAACTAGCTTCTGCCCGCGACTTCGTACGCGGATCCTGTTGCTTATGCCAGCGACAACGGGGTCGTTAAAATCGAAGATCTGAAACGTCTGATTTTGAATTCCAAGAGCACGGGGACGGGAAAACAACGTGATTCGCGAGACGATTCGAGACGTTCTATATCTTTCATTTTTGTAAGTCAACAGGAAATGCCCATCAGACTAAACAACTTTTGCTGAGACGTCATTCCTATATATGTTATAGTGTCGCTGGGCTTTGGATGGAGTGTAACTCGTTCTATGTTATTAAGTTAATATATTGGTTATATTGTTTAGACCACGTTCACATGAGGCTTAAGTACTTATAGAACAAAAATACTTCAGCGCAAAGCTTCCGGGTAAACTATGTTGAAAGTTGACCCTTGCGGCACGTGAACATAAAGATTTCTAGAACTGCTAACCCGGGAAAGAGCGACGTACAATTGACCATGCGAAAAACAACTGAGCGAGATCTACTCCTTCAACATGAAAAGTCTGCCCTTGAGCCTTATTAATTGTCATTGCATAACACCCTGATACTGGGAATTGCGTTCTTTTAAAATGGAATGGAAAATTATTTGGTATTATGGGAATTCTGGGAATAAAGACGGTTTCTCTTGCACTGCAACCTGTTAAAATTTTAGCCTCGATTATATTTTGTTGCAACTGGGTTAATTTTAGCCGAGTTCAATTGCAAAGTTGTGGTGGTCTTAAATTTCGGATCAGAATAATCGGAATGCAAATTTTTAAACAAATTTCATGAGAAGGAAGTCCGGGCATATTTAAAGAATTTAAAAATTCTATCGGGTAATTAGTGGCTTCTTGTTCATGGACCATTCTATTTATTGAACTATAAACCTTGCTTTCCCCCTTTATATTTGACAGTAATTTGTTATTAATCTCAGATGCCTGGTCATTGCGAGGAGTTAAAATGGATCTTTCGCATAGCCAAGAATTGTCCCTATTTAATATAATAATAGAACTTATTATAATTGTTACGTCACCGTAAACCGACGATATAAGATGTGGTTGGGATTGCTCTATACAACATAACTCAGGCGTCAGAATAGTTTTCCTTGGTGTAGTTGTGGATAGGTACCTTCACCAATCTTTAATAATTTATCAGAAAATTGACGATCATCCGGGTTATCTCCAGTTCTCACTCGCATGTTTATAGTCAAATGTACCGGTTGTATATCACGCCACAAATAAGAGCTTTTTTAGACAAGCCCTAACCTCATCAGCTCGGGTTCCCCGTGGTATTACCGGTAAGGTTTGTTGGAAATCACCACAAAATAAAACCGTGATACCGCCCATTTGTCGATCATTTTGTCTTATATCCCTTAAAGTTCTGTCTACCGCTTCTACTCCTTTTCGGTGGGCCATAGTACATTCATCCTATATGATTAAATTACACTCACGTTATACCTTAGCTTTGTCGCTATTTCTTAAAATACTAGAGGTTGGACTTTCCGTGCGATCTAAATCAATTGGTTTTTTGGAGCAGTTTTACCTCCTGGTAATGCAATGTTGCAGCTATACCTGATGAAGCCACGGCAAGAGCAATTTTGCTGATTTCGAACATAAGCTAATATTAATTTAGTCAAAAAAGGTTTTCCGAGTTCCTCCAGGTGCATCTAAAAACCATATTGTTCCCAATTTTTTCTGAACACTCTCGCACACGCGATTATAGACTGAACGTTGTTCTGCAGTCATTATTGGGACACCGTTTTCTAATGTTGCTAGCAGTTCCATTGAGTTGTAACCAATCTCTGCTTTTTTTTTTTTTTTTTTTTGTGGATTATATTACATATTGGTAACCTCTCCGACTGAGGTTGGTGTTGGCAAACCAAATTCACAGAGTGATTTACTGCCTAATGTTCTTAAGTCTTCCTGAAGAGCTAATAAGCACAAATTTATGGAAAGATCACGGAAATTATCATTAGTTGCGTCTTCATCATTGTGAGATATATTCCGAAGAAAGTCTTCTGCAAATTTTTCTTTATACAGTACTGTACAGCATCTGACAAATTACAAAATGTGAGTAATGTTACAAATAAATGGCGTAACCGTCATGGATTATCACTAACACAGGATTCTGTGCGTCATCCCAATGCTGATCATTTTCAAGCAAACGACGCGCTTGGCAAACTGCATGATAAGTTGGATAAACAACATCGTCTACTTTTCTCAAACCTATAAATGATGTTGATCTTCGCACTGTATGTAATAATAATCGCAAATAGAAACACTCAGCGTTGTTAGGATGAATGGTATACACTGTACCAAGAACATGTTCTTTGAAAATACCTGATTCGCCATCTACAGGCCTGCCACGGCGTCTACGATTAAAGACAATTCTCACCCAAAAAAAACAGGTTTTTTTTTTTCGCAATTTAACGCAAATGTAGCTTGGTCATTGCCCTTGTTAATATACTTCCAAATATATTTTATTGACTCTACACTATTACACATTTCAACATGTATGTGAGCTTGAAATGCTCTAGACAACACAGGCGAATACGGAATGACCCACCTATTATCTAAAGTAATCTGTTGTCCAGACACTCGCTTTTCAACAGTAAAACCACCATTGTCTTTTGAACGGCGACGATATAATGGGTATTACATCATGTCCTGTTACAGTTTCATCCACTAATACTTTTGGATATCTTTTAGTGCAATGACCTCTTGCATGTAAGGAGCATTCCCGTTAAATGCACCACATGGACCATGTATCATATGAGTTTTAACAATGTCGTATAACACGGGATCTGCACTGATTGAACTGTCTACATCATTAGGTCGAACCTTATCTTTTAACCAAAGCAGGATATGTGCGTGAGGTAAGCCGCGTTTTTGCCACTCAACACTATACATATAATACAATACATCTCCAAAAATGTTATCTTTGATAAGTAGATCTATCATTGATTTAATTTTAAATGAAAAACTCTTGCGATAATATCATGGCGGTCATGCGGTGCTTGACCCTTAATAAGCGCCCAAGTGATTTCATCCCACTTGGGATTGGTAGTTACAGTAATAAATAAGTCGGGACATCCATATTTTCTTACGTAACAAAAGGCATCTTGAGTACGTTCGTGCATGTAGCGTGGACCATCAGTAAAAGAAGAGGGTAAAATAACTAAACGGCCCATATTCACCGTATCATTATCTTGCTGCATGGCATCGCGAAGGTGCACGTATTCTTCAGCGCGCAGCTGCTTTTGATTAGATCGTATATAAATTAAGCTTTCGGTTTCAATTTTTGCGTAGATGTCAACAATAAACTGATTGAATAAGTCACGAAAACGTTGAAAGTATACAAATCTATTCCGTCTCACTTGCAAGTGGTAACAATAAAATTGAAGGCATGACATCTTTTTATAATAATTAGGTGCGCCTGTACGCGGATCAGTTTGGTATAAAGCGAAATTATAACCATCTTCCCCTCATATATCAAAGGATATTGCAAACTGTCGTAAGCCCTGTGGGTTTCGTAAATACTTTGCAAACGATTGTCTCTGGAACGGATAATGATATCACGCCTACCACATTCCTGGTCGACCAATACTACAACAACTTCATCCGTGGATGGAACGTTATAACGCCCAGGATGTTCCTGAGTTGGACGCCTATCAGCATTTATAACAATTTTATAATTGTTATCAACATCTTGAGGAAGAGCTTCTAATGCCGATTTAAAACTGCATACATACGAATTAACCTGATGCAACATGTTCTGACGTTGTGAAATAAGTTCAGTACTTAAATTCAGGAAATATTGATTTCTTATATTCGACTGTTCGTTGTAGTCGGATACAAAATATATTTAAAGAATCTTAGGTTGGTCTTCAGGCAAAAGGGATCCGATCAAATGGTAAACCTGACCTTGTATTTAAAAGTAGGCATGAAAGGACCTTCTGAGATTTGTTGAGTACCAAAGGATGTCATTTGAAACGCACTATTATAAGTGCGAATATTGTTTAAGAACTGTTTAGATTGCAAATGTTCCCCTAAAAGTAGTGACTTCAAAGGTTCCGGTGGATCTTCGAACGAAGGCAAATTTATTTTACCTCCAGAACAACAGAAACCAGCTGACTCCTCACTCCACTTTGAAGCATTACAAAAAGAACATACTACGTTCATATCGCCTATTACAGAAGATGATCTGTAATCAATTGTGAAGTTATAAGAAAACCCACTTTTATATTTGTCAGACCACGCCACCAAATTTGTAGATTGATCTTCTATGTGTACATCTAAGTCATTAAGACTATGTCGAAATCTGTCTGTAGTAAGACGGGCCTCTTGCTGTTCATCCGTTTCAAGAGACCGAATATTTTCAATTCTTAATCTTTCATTAGACAAACTTATTAATCGTTCTTGTCTCAAAGAATTGTAATATTCGCGTCCCGACTCTAGTCGTCGTTCATGCTCATGTTCATCTTCAAGAGATCGAACAATATTATGGTGCACCCTATCATTTGTCAAACGGTCTTCGTATTGAGTAAAAGTTTCAGATTCTCGAGATAAAATATGACGTTCGCGATCAACTGTGGGACGTAATTCCCTGTCAGTGTAGGTTTCGGACTCACGAGATAATGTATGCCGTTCGCAGTCAGCTGTGAGACGTAATTTCCTTTCAGTGTAGGTTTCGGACTCACGAGATAGTACATGCCGTTCGCGATCAGCTGTGAGACGTAATTCCCTCTCAGTGAAGGTTTCGGACTCACGGAATAGTACAAGCCGTTCGCGATCAACTGTGAGACGTAATTCCCTCTCAGTGTAGGTTTCGGACTCGCGAGATAATGTATGCCGTTCGCGGTCAGCTGTGAGACGTAATTCCCTCTCAGTGTAGGTTTCGGACTCGCGAGATAATGTATGCCGTTCGCGGTCAGCTGTGAGCCGCAATTCTCGCTGTGAAGCAGTTTCAGCTTCTCGGGATAACACATGTTGTTCTCAGTCAATGGTAAGCCTTAGCTCTCGTTGAGAAGAACTTTGAGACGCCCGTGATGTAGCATGTCTCGCTCTGTCAGCTGCTAATCGCATCTCTCTTTCTATAGAGCTTTCATTGGCTCGAGAAGTTGAGGCACTAACTCTCATAGAGTTTAACCGATGTGCTCTTTCCTCTGCCGATTCTTGAGAACGCACATTTCTCATTCTCTTAGCTTCTCTCGAATTTCGAGATAAAGATAATCGTTTTTAGGTGGCATTGTGTATTTTATTTTTAATCGACGGCATTCAGTTACCTAACAAAATAATCTACGTTAGAGGTCCTAACTATAGCTACCATACACTTAAAAAAATCTAAATGCCTACTTAAATAATAAAAAGAAACCTGAATAAATAGTAGTAGTAGGTACCTAAACTACGTCTAATAGAATAAAATAACCTATTTGATACCTAGGTACCTATTTAAAACTACAGCTAAATAAAAAAAAAAGTTTAATTTATAATTAAGCTAAGAAATATTTAAACACTACCAAAATAACTAATAGCTATTTTATAAAATAACAACCAAAGAAATCTAAAAATAAATTATTAAACGTAAGAGTAGACTAAAAGTCGCGCTGATAAGCACGGTTTGTTAAAATCAATTATTGTCTGTCAATAAGGTCGAACATTCTGAACGTCTATTCGCATCAACAGCCAAAATTAAAAAAATGGAAAGGCAATGAGGTGAGGATGATGATGAATGGTTTATGACTTGGTATTGTTACCAATCATCATGTCGACTTTTTAGGCGTTTTTTGAGCTATCTAACCGCAGTCCGAGGGGGGGGGGAGTGCGGACACCCGTCTCTGACTGCTCAGTTCAGTCAGTCTGGGCGGTGTGTACCGCCCAGGAACGCGGGTGTACGGTGTGTACGCGGTGTGAGCTGTAACGCGTCGTGCCCGTCTGTGGGTGCGACGCGCCCCATTCATAGTCCTAGTAATGTTTGTTCCATTTAGTGTGGGTGTAGTGTCATTGTGTGATGTGCCTGCGACGTTTGGGTCGACTGGATCGAGCGGTTGAGGTGGTTCTATTAACACATTACGCGGTCTACGGAGATAGGGCGCGACGTTTTCTATAGGAACGTAGTTAGCTGCGTTTGTCACTAGCGGGTTAGGGTGGGTTTCCACTCTTTCAAAGTGGCGTTGGGACATCTTCTTAAAGTATTCGGAGATAGATGGTTTTGATTCACAATCATTGTGTAAATCAGAGTTCCGTTGATACCACCGTGCACCGGTAGCTTTTCGGATGAAAAAGTTTTGTACTCTTTGGAGTTTTATAATGTGGGTCTTATATGTGTGGGCGAAAGCTACACTTGCGTAGGACATAATTGGTCTAACGCAGGTTTTATACAGTCGGAGTTTGTGTCTTAGCGACAGCTTACTCTTGCTGTTAACGAGAGGGTGTAGACGGCCAATTATTGACTTGGCTCTGTTGCGTACTACACTCATGCGGGAGTCGAACGTGACGATATTTGGCCGATTTTTCCCAAGGGATTGGGCGGTCGTACAGAGAAATCGTTTTTGGTTTGGAACCTGCTGTTGAATTCCGTTGAAAGTATACTGCTACACTCTTTTCAGGATTCACGTCAATTCTCCATTGGCGGAACCATTAACCTAGGCGATTGGTGGCTTTTTGGAGCTTTAAAGCTATTTTTGTTTTAGTCTGAGACATAAAGTGCGTATCGTCGGCGAAGAGTGCGGTGTTGACCACGGGGTCTTTAGGGATATCATTCGCGAAGAGTGTGAAGAGGAGTGGAGATAGGACAGAGCCTTGTGGGACCTTGTGGGACCCCGGCCTTGAGAAAGCGTTTCGAAGAATGGGTTCCCTCCACTCGATATCGAAAAGTGCGGTTCGAAAGGAAGGCTCGTATGATTTGCACGAGCCTATCGGGCACGTTTAGTTTGTACAGCTTGTAAATCAAGCCGTCGTGCCAGATCTTGTCAAACGCCTTCGCGACATCGAAGAAGATGGCTCCCGTGTTTCGAGACTTTTTTCTTGACGGGTTTTGGTCGAAGCCAGACAGAATGTATTCTGCTAGGCGATGAATCTGGTGGGTGCATGAGTGATTGGCTCTAAAGCCAAACTGCTCGTCTGGGAGGAGTCTGTTATATTCGGTGTAATGACGGAGACGCTTGTGAATAATGCGCTCGTATAGTTTACCCAAAGTGTTGAGCAGACTAATGGGTCTGTAGCTAGAGAGACGATTACGTGGTTTACCCGGTTTTGGGATCCCTATTACGTCTGCTTCTTTCCAGAGGTCGGGGAAGGAGCAGTTCGTGAGAAAAGTGTTAAATATTCTTACAAGGAGGTAAATAAGTGGCGCCGAAAGGAATTTAATCACCTTATTGCTGATGCCGTCTGGCCCAGGGGCTGATTTATTCTTAAGGCTTTTGATAGTTTCGGTGACTTCATCTACTGTCACAGGATCGAGTGGTTCACCCGCTGGTGGCAACGCAGCCCTACGGTCTACTTCCGTTTCTACCTCTAGTAGGTGGGCGGGATCTGTTGGTGTGGTGGATGGCGTTCACTGGTACTCTAGACTGTCGGCTAGGCATTTGGCTTTTTCGAGATCGTCTAGGGCGAGATCAGGGTGGTCAAGCCTCACGAGAGGCGGCATTGGTGAGGATTTATCGGTTTTAAGAGCTGTCGTTAATTTCCAGGAGGTGTCTTTAGATGGTTCGATACCTTCTAAGAGGTTATTCCAGCTATCGTTTCTAAACTCTGCTACTCGTTGTTTAATCTCTTTTTGTAGAGAACGTACCCGAAGTTTATTGGCTTCCGTGCGGTAGCAGTCATAAGTTTTAAGCGCGGAATTCTTCGCTCTAATCAGCCGTCAAACACCCGACGGAAGTTTCGTGTATTGATCGCTCGACACACGAACCCTACGGGAACATTCTTCGACCGCTGATGTGAGGTCAGTCGAAAGGGCGCTAATCGCCCTATCGGCCTCCTCTAGCGAGTCTATCTAGTCAGGTATAGTATCCAAATGTTTGGAGTTCGTAGACTTAAGTTTGACCTCAAGTATACGCCAGTCAACAATAGTTTTGGTCTGAGGGACCTCACCTGGCGGCCGGCCCAGTTGTAAAACGACCGGCCTGTGGTTTGAGACTAGTTCGATAATAGCCTCTATCGAATTAATAGTAAGTTGGATGTCTTTTAGCAGTGCTATATCGAGGACGTCCGGATGTTGGTTATTTGCAAAAGGATAGCGTTTTGGACTCTCGGGAGCGATAACGTCGAAGTTAAGTCTCTTCGAGAGGTCTCTTAAAATAATTCCGTTAGGATTGTTAACGTTAGAATTCCAGCTAACGTGTTTGCTATTTAGGTCTCCCGCGATTAATACGTAAGGGCCTAGGTTTAATAGAGCCGATATGTCGGTATCTAATATACTTTTTAAGGGAGGCAGGTATGCTGATGCAACTATTATTGGCGCATGGCCAGTAAGTGCTATCTCCTACAGATCGACGCTTCTAAGTTAGTAAGCGGCGGAGTATCTATCGGTACACATTGCAAGGACCTTTTGTAGTAGATCAAGGTGCCGCCTTTGGGTCCGGTCAGCCTATCATTTCTTACTAAGGTATAATTGGCTATTTTGGGATCGCTCAAACTAGGTTTCAAGAAGGTCTCTTGCACTAGCATGATATCGATATCATGGTCGCGTAAAAAATACATGATCTCTTCCTTTTGATCTCTGATACCGTTTGCATTAAAGAACGCGACAGTCAGAGACCTAGGCTTGGTTCTACCTGTAGGTCGTGCTTCCATTTTAATTACGAAAGAAGTTGGTTTAGGCGCACTGGAACGAGCCTATCGCTTGGATAAGACTGATATGCTCAATGGTAGCATTGAGCCTATCTTGAATAGACTTGGCTTCGCGAAGTTTGCGGGCTAAGGTTGTGACTTCGGCCAAATTAATATTGCTGGCAAAGTTGAACACTAACGAAAGGTCAGTGTCGATGTTTGACGGTGTCTGAGGGGCGGATTTGGGCTTCTGGGGCTGGCGAGGAGGCACTGGCCGTGAGGCGGCCTCGCTGACAAATGCCGGGGGCTTAACCCAAGCGTTGGGTTTAGGTGCTGAAGGCACCGGAGGGCTTGGAGGCTTTGCCCGGAAGTCCCTTTAACGGGCGCGGGTTGCGGCACCGAGGTTGGTGCGACTGATGGGGCAGACTGTCGTGGGCGCGACCTACTGGGGTTGCCCGCTCGCCCGCGTCAGATTGCTCCTCCGTTCTGCTTTCTACGCGGCGCTTTGCTACACCCGCGATAGCTCGCTGGGTGTCCCTCTTCGCCGCACAGAACACAACTCGGAAGGCCCTCCACCTCCCATGGCCCCACCAATCTCACGTTTATACGGGCCCAATCTCGAGAGATGCACGCGGTACTTGCTCAGGGCTTTTTCCCGCGTGCACTTTCTTGACTCTCTACAAGTTATTTAATCTGTTCCTGTCTCTTGTATTCTACTCTCCCCTTCTGGGCTGGACGAACACACCACGCCTTCGGTTCCGGGCAGAACGCTTCTTTGCCTGTTCTTCTTGCATGCCATCCATACGCAAACTACCGCAGCCAGCCAGAGCTGTCCTTACCGTCCACGAGGTCCAGGTAGTAAGCCGGACCCACACTTCTGCGTACTATTCCGTCCATCATCTTACATCTCAGGTCGTCATATAACGCACACTCCCATAGCACGTGATACCTATCCTCGTTTAACATCGTCATACCCGATTTAACCAGTTTCATGTCATACAGTCTCTTCCAAAAACATCCATGCCTACTGAGCATCTGCGAGACTTGATAGTCCGGTACAATCTAACTTGCGTTGAATCGCGCCGACACGTCCGGGAAGAAACAGAAAAGTTCCCTTCCATTCGTCTCTTTTCCCCATCTATCTTGCCATACGTTCATAATATCCGCCCAAATCTCGCTCTTACGCCTGCTCAACTCCCCATTTTCTGCTTCCACACGCGCGAGATCAATCCTACCAGCACTTGTCACCTCCAGGTCAGCCGGAAGGACGCCTATTGCGCGGGGACTCTACTGCAATCCCCGTGAGGTTGCAAATCCGGGTGATATTGTATATTTCTTTGCCCTCCGGAGACAGGTCCAAAATTACTAGGTAAAGATCTAGATATCGTTTTTTATCAGTCGCGTGGTGCATCCTGTGCACTTCT